AGACATGGTTCTCGATACCTCTTTCAGCAATTCTTCGGGTTACAAGCTACATGGCCTTGGGAAAGACTCGCAGCTAGAAACAAGACACATACCTACCAGTTCAAAAGTCAAGTCAATTCAACCTCCCACACCCAGACCGCGCTTCATGGATACCCAAAGCGACCCCACCCTGACCTCTACTGGTTCACCAATTCGCAAAGCCATCGCCGGATCGCAACGCCTGGCTGCGTCAACTACTCGGGACAAATCTTCCAGTCAGCCATCCCGAACAGTCTCTGACTCCATCGGACGCCCAAAACAAATCATCGATGACGCCGCACGAATTCATCATGACTGCATCCCACGTAAGCGTCCACGGCGTGATGGTAGTCAAGGTCTTGAAGTGAATGGGCTATCCACATCGGAAGTGCGGTATTCCTCATCACCCTCTCACGCCGAAGCGAATCAGCAACCTCATCAAGAGCACGATGGCTTCTCGCCGGTCCTGACCCCAAAGACCGCCAGATCTACCCATGACAGCTTGTATGGAGAGCTGCTCAAGAATCCGACTCCTGGCGATCGGAAAGGGGTCATCTATGTTCTATGTGACCCAAACAACAAATCCAGAGGTTACAAGATCGGAAAGACGAAACGAGCCTATAGAGACCGCATCATTGAGCACGAAAGAGCCTGTGGCTTCCTGCCTAGTGTGATCCACGTGTCAGATCACGAGATTGAACATTGTGGTCGCCTAGAGAAGCTTGTGCATATCGACCTGGAGAACTGCTGTGTTCCATTCCATTGCGAACATCACGGGCGTGTCGACGCGAACAAGGAGACCAAAGCACATAAGGAATGGTTTCAGGTCACCGAAGAGATGGCAGTCAATACTGTAAAGAAATGGGAGAGATTCATGCAACAGGAGGAGCCTTATAGCTGGGATAGGCAGCTGAAGATTATATGGAGATATCTTCTCGAGACTAGGGCCGCCGGACCTCTTGGCGTGCGTACATGGACACACGAGGCGCGACGAGAACACTGGGAGAGAATACTTGCGCCTCCAACGACAACCGAGTACCTCCACGCCTATCGAGCACGCGTTCAAATGTCTTTGAACAGTCTTCGTCGCTTCGCGGTTTACGTATGGACATACGTATCGGAATTCTTCTGGCCGTTGTGTACATTGATCTATGGCGTGACAACGTTGGCCGTATTTCAGAATCTGCTGACGTTCTATGCGTTCGTCTTCATCCTGGGATGCGCCAGCGCCAGGGTTCTGTCTTACGTACCACTGAGTCCTCCGAAGCGACGAACCAGAACGCCCAACAAGGTACATACGGCAGCTGCTTTGATGCAACATTAGCTTGTGGGTAGACGCGGGATATCCCACGCAGGCATGGTATTTTAGCCGTAATCCGATAACCTCCCTTTCTTTTTGGAAGAACTGCCTAAACTAAATCCTTCAACCCAGAGATGATCTGAGTATTGTTTGTATGCGTTGTATGCACGGTGTCCCTATGCGGAAGGTACCAACCCTTCATGCCGTTCTTCCCTTAGCCTACAGGAGCGAGGTAAACAACACCAAAACCTCCAACGCCTGTAAAGACGGCAAACGTCAGAATCGGGTATCTTGCCCCGACACCGTTCGCTACACATCATCTGGGGGCCTTAGCGCGCTCCCGTAGTGGATGTGCGGGGTATATTCCCGCGAAAGAGAGCTCCAGTGTATGTACCCCACATCACGAGCTTCCATCCCACTCAGGCCAGGACTTCATCGCATCCATGTAGATTCAACCGTGCCTCGGCTTCGATTCGCGAGCTTGACCTGAAAGTCCAATAGCGTCCGATGAACCTAGCAGCAAATCCTCGTCCGACTACCACGCGACCAGTTCATCCCACCATCAGCTCTATCCATGTCTCCCGGACATGCATGCCCAGGATAACATCCCAGGCACCATCTCCTGGGCCGAGGAAGCTCAGATCCAAACATGATGCCTACTGGTCAGATGCTCGAAGGTCAACGCCAAATACCAGATCTCGATCTCGGAGACAAAGGACTACCAGGTGTCACAATACTTCGGACCACTGTTACCGTTTCTGCTCTATTACCTCAAAGGCTCTGCATCTGCTCACTAGATCTCTTCAAGTCAAGGTCTTGCCTATGGGGGTAAGAGCAGAAACGCCAAGGGTATCTCGGATTGTTGTGACACCTGGTAGAACGGTCACAGCGCTCTTTTGGGGAGTCAACGTCCGTCAACCACTATTCGAGATGCATTACAAGATTCCAGGCAGCCTCAATACCGAGGTAGGCGCGAAGGATGTGGATTTGCAACCAGTATCTTGGGTATGTTGAGAGGAACATAAAGGGAAGGAGGGAACCCGTAGGGGAGGGACCACAGCACAGTCAAACAGCCAACTTCCAGCTTCCTTCTACTACTTCTCTCTTCAGAGCCACCAGGCACTACCCATCGTTACTACAATCGTCAATATGAAATCTATCACCATTCTTTCTCTTTTTGCTTCCCTCGTTCTTTCTTCCCCAATCGCTGTACCCGCCTCTGCGCCGGCGGATGCACCCCAGCCCATTACACTCGAAGCTCGCCAGTCAAGCGCTACTCGCAATGAGCTGGAGAGCGGCAGTAGCGCTGCTTGCCCAAGAACCATCTTCATCTTTGCAAGAGGCAGCACTGAAGCTGGCAACATGGGCGCCTTAGTTGGTCCTTTCACAGCCAGCGCTCTCGAAAGCGCATATGGAGCATCCACTACCTGGATTCAGGGTGTAGGCGGCCCATACACTGCTGGTATCGCAGAGAACACGCTTCCAGCCGGTACTTCTCAAGCCGCCATCCGCGAAGCCCAGCGTCTCTTCAACCTTGCTGCGAGCAAGTGTCCCAACACGCCCATCACTGCAGGTGGCTACTCTCAAGGCGCTGCCGTCATGTCGAACGCTATTACCGGTCTGAGTGCTGCTGTACAGAACCAGATCAAGGGCGTAGTGCTGTTTGGCTACACCAAGAATCTTCAAAGTAAGCTCTTTCCTTCTCTTAACATCCTATACAACAGTCTCTAACAACGTTCCAGATGGCGGAAGAATCCCCGGCTTCCCAACCAGCAAGACTAGGGTCTACTGCGAGACTGGCGACTTGGTCTGCACTGGAACACTCATCATCACCCCTGCGCATCTCCTATACTCGGATGAGGCTGCTGTACAGGCACCCATCTTCTTGAGGGCTCAAATTGCTTCCGCATAGGTGGCTACGAGAGAGGCTTTGGTGCGAAGATGAAACTTTGTATCTTATCAGCCAGGATGCGTTTTCGGTATTGGCATATGCTTAGTCACTCCACTTCAAGTGCACATTCTTTACAGTAAATAAATGATTAATCAACCTAACTATTTTGAAAGAAAGCGAGTTAGTATTTTGCGATACGCGCTGCCAAATGCGATTTGCTATCTAGTAACCACTTGGTACTAAACTATTAGCCCACTCTTCCACATCCGAAAACTGATCCTCGACGTCGTCAGGTATGCCACTTCCATTCGCATCAGCCCACTGTTCTCCACCGTCGATAGTTCCAGGCCCAGCCATGGGGCTAGCATTCTCGTCACTGATCAGCTCACCCGTCTTCCCGTAGCTCTTCAATTCCTCAATGAGTCGTGTGTCAACAACATCGCGCACTTTACTCGCACCGACAGAAATCTCGGCAAGCTTCAGCGCATCTTCCGCCGATAGAGTCTTTTCGGGCGCTGGGAAGGGAAACTTGGTTGTCTGGATAGCCATCCCTCCATAGTTGCTGGAGGACACACCTAGCTCCGTTCCATCCAACGTACCATCGCGGTTAGAGTCATAGAAGTTGCCTTCAACGTAGCCCTTGAAGTTCTCATTCCCGCGCGTAAACGCCGTGACGCTGGTACTGGGGCCGCTGATGAAATAATTCCCAACGATATTCGCCTCGCTTGCTGCACTCGAATCTCCAGCGATGTATCCTCCACCCCCGCCCCAGTTGTAGATCACGTTATTGGTGAAGTCATTGGTACCCTTGACCTTCGGGTTTCTCGTCTTGTTGTCAATGTATAAGTTGCGAAACAGACTGATACCATTCCCGAGATTCGTTTGCATCAACCCGCCACACGAGTGTGTTTGCAGACCTTGCCCGATGATACTGTTTTGAATGGTGATGTTGCCGACGTCGTTGCCGGAGATCGAAAAAGTCTCGTCGCGACCCCAGGAGACGGAGACGTGGTCGAAAATCATGTTGCTCCCCTCTGCGATCGTTATACCGTCCTTTCCGCTAGCTCCTCCTTTTCCCATTCTGATGCGCAAATACCGGACGATTGCATCGTCGGCGTTGCTGAAACTCCACCCATTTCCGTAAACTGTGATACCATCGCCTGGTGCTGTTTGCCCAAAGATAGACACGCGTTTGGCCACGACCATGCGCTCTTTAATCTTGATCAAACCACCTAGCGAGAACACGACTATGCGGTCGCTCTGGGAAACGCCCTCGCGGAGAGACCCTTCACCGCTATCATTGAGGTTTGTGACAACATAGACAGTGCCACCACGACCGCCGACAGCGTTTCGCCCAAAGCCTTCTGCGCCCGGAAAAGCGAGGGCGGCGACGGAGGATATTAGCAGGGGCAGAACAGTGCAGAAGATCATCTTCAAGGCGAAGAACACGGGGTAGGAAGAATGTCGGAGACTGAAGGAAAAGATATGTAATATGAAAGTTCCACGCGGCATGCGCAGAGGCGGCGAGATCAGCTAGTTCGTAGCGCGCTGCTGGTGAATGGCACCTTGGATTACTCTCTTCATTTACCCCAGACGTTGTGATCGACAGGGTACCTAAAAGATAGTCCGCCAATCAGAGCGGGGATGTGTTCGGACGGTAGGAAAGCATGGCACACAGCAAAACCAATGAGTGCAGGTCTTAAGATGTGGAATTGTTGAATGCGCAGCTCGTACGGGCACGCCCTTCGGGTTCTCGGTGTATTAAGCCCCATGGGTATATTTCTGCTTTCCCTAGTACATGCTAGACCCGGTTTTGACACTTTCGGTAATTATTCCAACTTCGGCAAGTTCAGCAACCAAATCCATGAGCATGTGGTCGCAACCTGCCGCAGCTACCATACCAATGGTAACGGGGAGCGTTTCGTTTCTCTCAGTAACCCTGCTGACATACGTCCTGCAATGGTAGAGGTACGAAGTCAGTATATGTCTTAAATGCACTTCGTACAGTCAAGCTTACCTTGCGCCAATCGGTATTGTGTAGTCGGGTAGCGCTGCCAGAACTGACATCTGGTTGCCGGGTAGTCCAGCAGCAAATATACCACCTGGAGCGGCTGTATAGATGTCGCGGTAGTCTTCCGTACCGGCACCCATAGGATACAGCACCAACGTTGACTCGCATGATGGCGTCAACGTCTCTCGAAACCATGTCTGGAATGTGTGCGTGCGCTCAATAGCAGTGGTATAGCTAGAGGTCGGCAAAGTTGCGGCCCGATTCCATCGCGCTCGTGTTTGCGGGTTCCAGTAGGGCGCTTTGCCAAACTTGGCAATATACTGCTCCCTAAAAGGTAGACCAAGGTCGCGGTACTGATCCACGTTGGTAATGTTGGAGTATGTAGAGCCGAGATAGGATGCTATGCCTTCAGAGATGTTCGCGTATGCATTGAAACTGGCGTTGGCGTTGAACGTTGTCAAATTGGCGTTAAGAAAAGCAGCTAGCTGTGAGATGAACGAATCAAAAATAGGCATACTCGTGCTGTTGACTGTAGGCCAAAACAGATCAGGCAAGATGATGCGCTTAGGGTAGGATGTGTATTCCTTGGCTGGGTACCATTTCCTATGCACTGCTTGGAGGAGCTTCGCCGACCTAGCTAGTACGCCTGGCGTATCAAAGATTGCTGAGATGGGCAAGATTCCCTTGAGTGGCAGTGAGGCGTTGGTGATGCGCATGCCGAACAGGCCGTTTGCCATGGCCGGTAAGCGAACAGAGCCTCCAGTATCGGAGGCAGTTGCGATATCCATCCAGTTGTACGATGCAAGTCCAGCCCCAGAGCCGGCTGATGAACCCTGGGGATGCTGGTAGCCGTCTCCTCTAGGGTTGAAGGGTGCCAGCTGATCCACGTAGTCGGCTGTTGGTCGTTCCCCAAGCGCAAACTGGGTAGTCTTTGTCTTTCCAATCACCACCGCACCCATGTCAATAAGCTTTTGTAAGGCTGCCGCGCTCTTGGGAGCCGGATCCACAAGGTCGCGGTAGCCTCTGTTTCCACCACTCGTACGGATACCCTTCAGGTCGTAGATATCCTTCACGCCCAGGCGTTTGCCCGATAACGGTTTATCTTCTGTGGGTGCTGGATAGTATAATCGTGACGGCACTGCGATACTAAGAGCTCCGTAGGCATCCGTCAACGCCAGACCTGTGACAGGAAGGAAAGTCCCATTCTGACCTTCAGTGACCGACTCCGCAAAAGCGAAGTTGTGATCCCAATACAATCGGTAGACTCTGGTGATAGCCTTTGATGGGTGAAGTAGATATGGGCCGGATGCTACGCCGGCGTCCAACGCAGTGTAGATCATGCTGCACCCGATTGAGCCAAGATATGCATGTGCATTGTCTGAAAGACTGCTTGAACCGCCAAGCACTAGTGTATGGAGGAAAGATTCCGAGTATACATCGTCGTGCGATAGAAATGAGGATATCGTGAACTCCAGTAGCTCCGCGGTGACATTAGGGTCCGAAAAACTCAGATAAGTGATTGGCAAAGGCTCTACGTTGGCCCATGACGGGTCGCTAAAGCTAAGCGTCGCTGCGGTAAGACCTGGGGAATAATACGACGTAGAGTTGAGTTGAAAAACCGTACTCGCTTTGACAAGAGCTGCAAGCGATAGGAACAGCGCGGCCTTCATGATGTGCGGCGCGCAGACTTCGTGGGGCAATGCTCATGAGGCAACCTGCCAGCTTTATACCCATGCATCTTCGGCTCGGTATCGTGTTTTCTGGAACGCAAAGTGCGTATGTCCGTTACATGTCTATCGCGTCCTGACGGCGGGTGCAGAAGTGGGAGAGATGGAGGTTAGCGCGTCGATGATAATGCAGGCAAGACACTTGGCATGACGTCACGCGTGAGGAACGAGTCAGAATAGGCATCGTAGAGATAACGGTCAAGCAACATCCGCTAATTCACTGACAAATTGCCCGCCTGTAATGATAACACTTGCAGAATACTAAGGGTCGTTGTCTAGCTCACAGCGAGTTCAGAACGAAGACTATTGGAGACGTGTCTACGGATGAACCATTGGCATAAAGGACCATCAGTTCGCAGTATCCTCTTAGCCTCTTGAGCGCTCCACGTCGGCTTAGGAAAAAGATAAACACCCTAGAGTCTACATTAAGGTTAGGTTACCTACTTTGCACATTTTAATCTTGATCTAATTTGCAGACCTGGTCGGTTTGTTTCTTGCATGCAGTGACTCAACAGAAATAGTGGCCGTCGCGTCATAAGCATCAGATTAGGGATTGGAAGAGATGTGTATGGGTTTCAGAACAACGGTGAGGCACAGTCTCCTGAAGCGTAGACCTGCACCGGAACACGAGAAGCGACGGGAGTAATCGCTGTCCATGATGGGAAGGTGAACAGTTTGGGGCCCTAGAGACAATGGTGGAGTTTTCGAGGCCAGATTCGTGAAAATCAGGAAGGGCAACGCAGGCTTAGTAATGCACATGCTCATCAAGAACGGACACAAGTCTTTGTAATGCAGCTGCCTGAGATTTCCGCAGCCATATCGATGCTGCCTAGTAACTAAACGCCTACGCTATGCTTCTAGCAATGAACTAATGACGTGCGAAGTGTCTTCCGAAGACGACTGGAACTGAAGAACAAAAAGAACGATCGCAGAAGAGGACCCATTGCGTGGATCTATTGCGTCCCGCTGTAAGCAAAGAGCGACCAACTGCCTGGCAAACCCCTAGCAGTTTCGCTAGAATGCTCTGGGTCTCTTTTGTGTGGCACGACTTGGAACCGGAGACGCACTTGGTCGTTTCCTTTGTACCAACGCGTCTTCTTCGAGCTCTTCTTCAGTCGTATGTTGCCCGTTGAACTCGCAACCGGGATCGTCCATGTCTGCCTGACAGCAGTCCCATTTTATTGACCCGCCCGGTGGCCTGTACCTCTTCCCAGAATGAGAAACGCAGGGCGCATTCACGTCCACTATCTGTTCGTGACACACTGTGCAGGTCTTTATCAAGGGCGCAGGCTGTTTGTTGATGCTCGCTGACCGTGGCGTGTCTCTGGCCAACAGCCTTGGAGTTTGGTTGACAGAGGATGATTGGCCTGAGGGTTTCCGGACTGGCGTGCGTAACGTGGTTGAGCGTGGATAGGCTCCAGGAAGGTGCATGTCGCCGTCTGAACTTGACTGTGAGCGCTCACGTGGCTCCCGCTTCACTCGTGATGCGAACTCAGAACCATGAGGCCGTGATGTAGCTCGACTTCCGCTGATCTCGCGGGATTGTGCAGGCAAGCTGTTGTGACTTGGGGTCGGAACTGTAGGCTTCACGAGGTTTCTTTTCGCCGCCTCATAGAGTTCGTCGCTATCATCCTCATCTTGAATCTTGACCTTGGGCTGATGCGACTGCATCCGTTGCTGGCTGATCAGGCTCTGGGCGGATGCAGAGTGAGGCGCAAGTCCACGGACGAGGGCGCCGGAAAAGGCCGGTGACATTTGGCAAAGGTCGAGCAGCACCTTTTGCACAGCGCGCGGGTCGGCTGTCTCGATGATCTGTTTGATATGCTCAGGGTGGATAGGGCGCGCCTGCTGTGGCCCTACAGGGTTTCGCGCGGAAGCCATCGGATGCCTAGCTTCCATCCCGACATTTGCCATACCGTAGGGGCGTGGCTCGGGCTTGAGGTACATTTGAACTAGTCTTTGGGGCGGCCTTGGCTGTGGCCGCTGTTGTGGTCGTTGCTGGGGCATGTCTTCCGGCTCTGGTGAGGAACCTGTGAGGTCGATTGTTTGGCAGCTATTGCCAGTTGTGTGTGATGGAGCCATTGCGAGGGAAAGAATGACCAGATACTGATAACCAAGAGCACCCAAAGTGAATAACTGATGTCAAAGCGCGGTCTGCGGAAGATTGGTCTCAGCGTCGCACAATGAATGAATTGCTGGGCTTGGAACGTGTGGATCCCGGGCCTCTTAGCGCGACACCAGCTCACGTGATCAACGCACGGCCCAGCGCAGGATCCTTCCCCACAAACCTCGACCTGCAAGAAGGAGGCGCGTCCGTCGTGCCCAACAACGCGTCAGCTTCAACACCATCAGTAATGCGATGCGCACGCGGCATCACTTCGGACCTCAATACTGCCTCCGTCAGCCCTCTGTAACACGCTACAATCAACCCAAATCAACGCACGGACGGCAACAAGATTCCCACCAACCGGCGCAATGCACATGCGCAGTCGTTGCGCGATGAGAGATTCACCGTCTGGGGTGCATACATCAATTTTCCGATGGCTTGCTTCGCCCGTTTCGACAGCTTTCATAGCGGGGAAACGACCCCGTAGCTCACTAAGCGGTTGTTCGGAGGTCTAGGTCAGACCCGGGGAGTCCGCCAATATAGTTTGCTTAGCCGGCATGCTGAAGTTATTATATGTATATGCATACTGCGCGCCTTCAGGCTAAGTTCTACATTCACTCACTCTTATACTTTCATTTTCAACTGTCCTACTTTGTCCACAATGCTCCCATCAATCGCTTTCGTGCTCACGCTCGCGGCATCCGCTGTCGCAGCTCCAACGACGCTGGCGCCTCGGGCTGGACGTACAAGTCCTCCTTCTGGATGTCTGGCTGTGGGTGGTAGCGGAAAGTACAAAACTGTTCAGTCCGCCGTTGATGCTTTGAGCGCTTCCAGTACGGCTGCACAATGCATTTTCATCGCGAAGGGTTAGTTCTAGCTGTACCAACTCCATGTGAGACATGTACTGACTTGGTGCTCCCGGTTCTGCAGGCACATACAAGGAGCAAGTCTACATCAAGCCGCTCAAGTCGGCTCTGACGGTTTACGGCGAAACGACAGACACTAGCAGTTACACCGGCAACACCGTGACCATCACCCAGGGCAAAAGTCAAGATGACGCCCCCAACAACGACGAAACTGCTACTCTCCGCGCCTGGACACCAAACCTAAAGGTCTACAACATCAACCTGGTCAACACACGCGGACAGGGCTCGCAAGCTCTCGCCCTTAGTGCTTATGCTGATAAGCAAGGCTACTACGGATGCCAGTTCAAGGGTTACCAAGACACTATCCTCGCCCAGCAGGGTAGCCAGGTCTATGCCAAATCCTACATCGAAGGAGCGACTGATTTCATCTTCGGCCAGAAGGCCATAGCATGGTTTGATGGTTGCTCTCTGGGCGTTCTCACAGCGTCGGTGGGTTACATTACTGCCAACGGTCGCGATTCAGATTCCAATCCCTCATACTATGTCATCAACAACTCGAAGATCGCCGCTGCTCCTGGTAACACGGTGAGCGCGGGTGCTTACTACCTCGGCCGTCCTTGGAGGAATTTCTCTCGTGTTGTGTTCCAGAAGACTAGCATGACTAATGTCATCAATGCCGCGGGATGGAAAGTTTGGAATACCGATGACCCCAGGACTGACAAGGTCACATATGCCGAGTACGCAAACACCGGTGATGGATCCAAGGGTACCAGGGCGTCCTTCTCAAAGAAGCTCTCGGCTGCCGTTAGCCCTTCCACTGTTCTGGGCAGCGACTACAAGAGCTGGGTTGATGCAGCTTACCTTTCCTAGGCCAACATCTTGTAGAAAGATGCGGGCTAGGTTCGGTAGTACGTGAGAGTTGGTTTTCTTGTACATATATTGGGAACACTAAGTGTCTTCATTTCTATTCATACATTTACTTGCAACTGCACTTGCTTCTCAAAATCTTAAAGACGTGTCGGCAATATTGTGATCGGTATTACATTCGCAGTCTTGTGGCATGCGTGAGAAGATTCTAGCTGAAGTAAGCAAGGCTAGACACGGGCTACCACCGAATGAGAGACCCACTAGTGGGTCACCGGACCATGGGTTTTTGCTCCGCATTGCTACGGCTTCTGCCCTTCCACTTCAACTTTGCAATCGCGAACATTTCGACAAAAGGTTCGGGATGTCTTATGGCACCATAGCCGACCCACCGCCGTCCGCAGGGCGCTCAAGGGTAAACTTCTTGCCACGCCTGCCATCTGCAGCTTCAGGCTCTGCGCAAGATACGGACGAGGAAGCCAATCCGCCAGGAATATGGAGCAAAATATCGCAGAGTCTGAAGTCATTCTACGGGCGGAATTTCGGTTTATTCTTAGTTTTCTTGGCACAGACATGCGGTTCTGTCGTAAGTTTTATTTCTTGTGTGCAATGACTGCATGCCGCAGACCATGCCACTTACAAATGAGCACTAGATGAACACAGCAGCCAAACTGCTCGCGAATGACCCATCCATCGAGTTTCACGCTTTGCAAATCATCTTCATCCGCATGCTGTGCACGACGATCATCTGCTCGATTTACTCTTGGTACCATGCGGTGCCTGACTTTCCTTTCGGCCAGAAAGGCATCAAAGGGCTGCTCATACTGAGAGGTACTGCAGGATTCGTCGGTCTATTTGGACTGTATTGTAAGTTTAACTCCCTCTGCAATTCTTCACGGCTCACGCCATATAAGATTGTGACCTGCAGGGGTGGGTCACGATAGTGAACTGGAATACAGCTAACAATACCGCCTAGACTCTCTGTCATGGCTTGAATTCTCCGACGCGACAGTAATAACTTTCCTAATCCCAACCATGACAGCCATAGTGTGCTTCCTATGGTTACGCGAGCCATTCACCTGGAAAGAAGCGCTTTGCAGCTTCGTCGCATTCTGCGGCGTTCTCTTCGTCGCGAGACCACCATGGCTATTTCCCGCTTCGCACTCAAGGCCAATAGCCGATGACTCGGACGGGCATGCACCGTTACCATCAACTACCACCGAACAACGCGCTCTGGCAATCCTCATCGCGATTCTAGGCACGCTTGGTGCTTCGACAGCCTACGCAACTATCCGAGTGATCGGCAAGCGCGCCCACTCGCTCATCTCGGTGAATTACTTTTCTCTCATCGCAACAATCGCCTCGTTCGTGCTCATCCTGGTTCACCCTTCGTTACATTTCGTCATGCCCAAAACGCTCGGTCAGTGGGGGTTGATCGCCATTATTGGGCTCTTCGGGTTTCTGTTGCAATTTCTCTTGACGGAAGGTCTGCAGAGGGAGAAAGGTGGAAGAGCAACAAACTTGACGTATCTGCAACTTGTCTTCGCGCTTGTTGTCGAGAAGGTGATCTGGGGAACTACGCCGCCTGCTGAGAGCTTGGTGGGAGCCGTGCTTATCATCGGAGCGGCGATTGCGGTCAGTCTGCAGAGGTCGAGTGGGAAGGATGATAAGAAAGCTGAAGTTGTCGAAGAAGAGAGGATGCTGTTGGAGGATGAGAATTGAGCTAGAGCATATTGGGTACGCGCGAGTGTATTATTATCATGTACATGCATTTGCATGACATGACCTAAATTCTACCTCCATGCTTCACAACACTAGAACTGGCCTGCTATTGGGTATTCATCACCCGACTGTATTGGGCTTCATCGTCGACCGACGCTGGAAAGTAGTCTTGCGGCTGATGCGGCACCTGTTCTCACACCGATGATGATGATCAGGGCAGAACCACTCGCATGGTGCGTTATGTTGCAGTAGATATGATCTGATGATAGACCACTCTACTGGCATCACTGGTGCCACGACAGAGACAGATCCGCAGCAGCCTGATCAGCGTCGCCGCTGTACCTATACCATGCGTCAGCTTCTACTGACAGGCTCATGACTCATTGCGCTAGATCATGCTTTGCACGCAATGCCGAGTTTAAACCGCATCACCCTCATCTCTCGAATTGACATCACTGCTCGCTCTTTCTTCGTCTGTTCCTTGTCTCACAATGTGCTCTTCGCTTCCATTCATGCTCATGTCTATGTTGTCGATCTCATGCACAGTCCTCCTTTTGCCCTTCCTCTCAACATGCGACAAACGAAGGCTGTCTGGCAAATTCTGGCCCGAATTGTCGTTTGATGGCTTGATCGATGACATAGCTTTCCTGGCTTTACTGAGAAAGGGCTTGAGGATAGGTGCGTTGACAGCTAAGATTCCGACAAACTATGGCAAACATTAGCAAGGTCCTAGTGGCCTTAAAATTTGAGAGGCTCACTGTTTCGCGGATTGACCAAATGGTGCCAACGTTGATCTGGGAAACGTCTTGAAGACACAGGATGCAGCGGAGCAATGTTGCTGTCATCATGAAAACACCGGTGCATAACCAGACTCCGTACAAAAGCTTCCTTCTTAAAGGTAGTCGGACGTTCCAGAGTAGAGGTAGCGGGATATACAAGATCATGAGATCGGTGCTGGGTGATCGTAAGTATGGTACAGAAGCGGACAGGCTCATTTCTAGGGCTACCCACGTTACATTTGTAACGACCAACGCCAGATATTTGGATATGTTGAGCGCGCAGTCATCACCTGGATATGGATATATTTGCCAGAGTCGATAGATAGGGTGACAGTGTGTGAGGAACACGATGATAGTAGCGATGTAAGCTACCAGGCAGACTGCCCCAGTAATCTTAACGAGATTATGTTGCTGGAGATTGAGCCTATTGCTATCAGCGGGGATCAATCTAAATTTGTAAATTATACATACGTGAGCCTCCTGTAAAAGAACAGCATACAAGCTTTTACTGTGGTAACAGCCTATTAGTATGACCACATGGCCTCGAGTGCTCCGTTACCAAAGCATTTACGTACAGCACCATATCAGGGTTGTATATAGTATCCACCCTGCGAGAAGGTATTTACTACCCACAGTAACACGGTGACTTTCCTCAGGTGTAAGTTGCAACGCGAGTTCGTTGCTCATTCCAGTGATGGAGCCATTCTGGCCGATGAGCTCCAGCATGACAAGTTCAGCGGTGAAGAAGAAGGCGCAGAGTACGGCGAAGTAATCATCTCCATCCCAGCGTAGTTGGATCTGCCAGCAGCGCGCTGTAATTCGAAGTGTTATAACGACAATACCAATTGCGTATTCGGTCCATGCTTCAGTCGTGAAGGGATTAGACATGCTGGCGAGACAAGCATCGACAGTTGAGGGCCCTCTCGTGCGAGATCAGGGTACGTCGAGCAGCAAGGCCCTTAACATTGAGTATCATTGTAAAAAGGAATGCCCGAAAAACGAAAGCTATACGATACACGACGAGAGTGGAGGCTTTCAATCGGGCGCAGGTGACCCATGACGGTGCAAAGCGATTGGTGTGGGTGCCTTTTCGGATGAGAAACCCGCCGGGCGCAATAAGTTGCCGCAGTTCCTCGAATGACCATCCTTGTGATAGTTTGGTGATCTCGGGGTGCTGGCTACCAAGATCGCTGTGAAGATCTAACGGCCCGATTTCTATCGCAACGTCGCACAATTGGTTGTTGGATTGCTTTTTGACATTTTTCGATCTTGTCCGAAGGTAAGAAGACGTAGCTAGACACGAGACTGGAAAAGAGCCTGGCTGACATACAGCCTTCAGCCGTACCTGGCAGTTCATGCCTTAGCGGCGCGCGGCACACGCAGATAGGTTGTGTCAAATGTGGATCTTGAAGTCGTACCCAGCTTCGCAGATTCCCAGATGAGAGTGCTGCAGAAGCGCAGATGCGCGAATACTACGTCACTGTCAGTACAGTGGCTTCTCTAGGCACAAAAGAAAATTGATGCCGGGAGCACATCCAGACTCCAGGTCTAAGGCCTAGCGCGAGGTCCGACCCTTGTTCAGTGCCCCACCTAGACACATGTGAACCGAGGCCCTTGCTGCACAGCGTCCCGTGCCGTTGTACAGCGTTGTACGGGACTGCGAGGAGCGGGCAGCAAGACTTGCATTTAGCTGAGACACAATAGGCGGTGCACTGTGACTTCCCCTCTCATAACACAGCGCCCAGGCACAAGGAGTGCGACGCAACAGATCTGCTATAACATCGAAGAAGTCTTAAGATGTCAGAGGACGCAATTCCAGAGCACCATCGCAGGGAGAGAACATGCCCTGTCAGCACGCCGTCCAACTACATTCCGCCGTTCCCTGGATATTGCTCCAGATTCGAGGCAACAATGAATGATCTCGTTATGGCCATGATGGGAGCGCAGTACGACTCTGTTACCGGGCACGATGGCATAGCCGTTAGCAAACTTCAGGAGTTCTTGATTAGAGGGCCAGAGTCAAAGCGCCCGTCGTTTTGGGAAACAACCTCCGTAATCGACAAGAGAGGTGCCTATAGCATCGCCGTGATCGCATATTGGCGCAGCGCAGACTTGCACAGAAGCTGGCAGCAGGAATCTGGGTTCGGTACTTGGTGGCAGAGTTCAGACAGGGAAAGAGATGGGCATGGGTGGTTCCAGGAGATTCTGTGTCCAACGATGGATCGTTTTGAAACAGTGTTTTCAAACCCTGAGAATCCAGAAGGGGCGGCCAACATGCAAGAGAGGATCTCGGGCGAGTTGGAACAACACGCGTATTGGGGTAGCATGCGGGATCGCTTGGCAGCTGCTCAAGACAACAAACTCGAGGGCGATAGATGGTGGTCTAAGGATGGCAGCGCAAATGGCTCGAGTGACGCCTCAAAACGTGTCCGTGTATCTGGCAGGCCCAATCTGTGCGTGATTCGATCGGGCCAGGATTGGTCCGCCACGCTACCAGGAGAGCGCAAACTCTACCTCGATACAATGCATCCGGTGCTCGTCGAGGGCATGGAGTTTCTACGTGATGAAGGGCGCGAGGTTGGCTGTTATGCGATGAATTTGTGGGATGTTGTGGATTCAAAGTCGTTCGAGGCGAACAGTGAGAGAACGTTCGGTTTGGGCTATTTCGATGACCTGGCGTCGCTCGAATACTGGAGTAAAAGCCACCAGACGCATATCAACATCTTCGGAGGCTTCCTGATGTATGCGAAAAAGCTGAACAATGTATTGTCTCTGCGGTTATTCCATGAGGTTTACGTACTGGAGCCGGACCAGCAATTCTTTGAGTACATTGGGTGCCACGCCGAGACGGGGATGATGAATTCGCGCCGATCTTGAAACCTGTAGACAGATTGTTCGGAACGATGCTATCATTGATAACCTGTGGTCAGCATTGTAATTGAGAATCGTGAGCATTGGATGAAAGTTGCCATCGCGATTTTGGTACTGAGAGTGAAAGGTTCCCCAGAGATGAAATCCAATAGGGCGTAGGGCTGTTGCCTTATCGTCTTATCGGCGTCGTGACGCGACTTGGTACGCGTCAAGCCTCACTGACATCCATCAACCGAAGGCTATGCACAACGACCCTATCAGCAAAAAGGAAAAGCGTCTCATGTGGCGTGGGCAGTCCTGAACGACCGGGACCAGTGAAATGGTGACGCGAACAAGCGATCACGCGGGACCGTACCCCGCGAAACATGATAAGCGGCACGGAGCTTACGCGGGGATATGGCGACGCCATCACTCCCTGGAGGCTGCCTGGCCTTCCATCGCCCTTTAGCTGTTCTCGATCTTCTCTTCAATCCACACGCTCTTCACAGCATTGCTCTCGTCCCTTGAGTGCGCCACTACTCCCAGCGCCATTTGTCCGGCTATTGATGTAACCACTATCCGTCCACCTAGGCTCAGCTCCCAGGAGCTGTCGGTGCCTTGGACAGCAGACCTGCGATAGGTATCACGGTATGTTGTACTTGCAATCATGTAATCCTCCATCTCTGACAAGCCACAGAGCTAAGACTCTCAGTCTACCTCCTGCATCCCTTCTCCCTCCGATCCCCCTGACGGCTTCCATCATGACTTGGTGGCGCCGGGACCCGACACTCGCTCCTTTCCAACGCTATGCGCAACGCATCCTCCGCTCCGACGACGCGGCCCTTCGCACGCGGTGCTTCTCGCGCACGCCCTCCAAGTCAGCACAACACGAAGACAACAATGGCAACAAACGTCCATCCGGCATGTCCAACCTGGAATGGTTGCAGCTCGAGCAGTACCAGCAATGGCGAAGGAAACTCATCAATGATCCATACGAGGCCATCTTCGGGGCCAGCAACGAGAGGTTGATTGGCAAGGGCAACAAAGACTGGGAATGGCTTGCCAATAGCATTCCTAAGTGGATGTTGAGAGAGATGGAGAGCCACGACGACAACGCTTCGCCGCCGAAGCAAGGCAAGAGTGGCGGTATCGATCCGAACAACCCGCGACGGGTCAAGATCGATAGTGAAGAGCGCGATATCCGTAGGGAAAGAGAATCACACTTCCCCCAACCGTCATCCAGGGCAAGACTGCTCCCTGACGACCCGACTGGCATTGAGTCACCCTCTGATCTCAGGAGGCCGCGAGAGCAATCTCATGTCAAGAACGTTGGCCACTATTCAGGATTATCGACCGAATCTACAACAAGCGCACCTAGTGCCACAGCGCAGGACTACGAACACGAGCAGCCGACGCGACCGAAGAGCACGGCGTCGTTTGAAGAATACATTGCGAAAACGAAAACGGATGCGGCTAAGAAGATCGAACAATCCAGCACGGCCGCACCCAGTAGAGAACCTTCCTTTATGGACCGCTTCCTGACAGAGAAGCCCGAACACGAAGACGCGCAACGATACGGCACGGCGGAGACAGGCAGCTGGAGAGAGACCGCACTGCAAAGGAGGATACCAAAGGACGTCGTAGCAAAGCCTGATGCCGACTCTGCGCCCATGGCAAAGGCTGGTGACGAGTCGTCAATGTCAGCATCCTCAACTGACGGGACCCACGAGCTCTCCTCAGAATCACATATGCAGGAAACCCTCCCGTCGCTTCCTCCAAGCTCAGGTCCTCTACGCACGAAGCAACCTTCCACGCAAGAACACATCCCATCACAGGAGACACCCAGTACACAAGGCAGCGTCACATCTGTGAGGTCAACGTCAAAAATCTTGAGCCAGTTGCCCAAAGACGACTTGGACTTCTTGAGTGCGGACGAGATTCGTGCGAACATGGCCGCAAGAAGGAGCAAGGTCCTGGACGAAGAACGTAGAAAAGCGGATCCGGCTAGATTGGAGAGCACTTTCGAGAGCACCCCCAAGGCAAAGACCGGTATGGATCCGATGCTTGAGTCCAAGATCATCAATGACCAATACGTTCGTCGAATCGAACGGCAAATGCAGCGGCCAGAGATCTCGTTTGATTCACAAGAATCCAGTGAGCCCAGGACAACTACAAAGATGGACGAAACCCCATACAAAGCAGACGAAAGCCAGTTGGAGTCGAGCGTCGAACGGATGAAGTCTTGGCTTGAAGAAAGCGGTGCAAGATTCTCTAGTCTTTTCTGGCAAGACCCGACCGAAGAAGCGGATGCGAAGAAAACCCGCTTGTTCTTCGACAAGATCCTGGCACGTATTCGCAAGGGTCGCACGACGATGAAGCAAGTGGTCGAAGACCTAGAGGCAGACATTCCAGCATCTAAACCTCTCTTGAGGCGTATGAAAGCGGATGAGGACCTCCTGGACTCTGCTATCAACACTCTACGACAACGCTCAGAAATCGGAAAGCTTCGTTCATTGACGCCGAAGAAAGTAAGGGCAATCCAAGAATTGCGTCTCCGGTACCAGAGCACAGACAACGACCTTAATAAGGCATACGCCTTGCTCCAAGATCTCGGCGACTCGGACGCAACAAAGAACGTCTCACCAGCGTTCAAAAGGCGCCTGAGCATTGCGTCGAAAATTACCCAGAAGAACGCTCACCTTACGCGTTATCTCATCTGGAGTCTACAGGCCCGGCTCGAGGACCCGGAAATTGATCAGAGCATGCTCGCAAACTACAAAGCTGTTGCGAACAGTTTGCTAACTCTTAGAGATACACAGATGGCCCTATCTCGATTGCTGGAACGTGCCATGCTCGTTTACGGTGTGGCTCCACATCTCTGGGAGGACATTAAAATCTTTCCCGACACCCCAGCTCTGGAAGTTCCGCAGGACCGTGAGCAGTCATCTCAGACCAAGACGTCTTCCGCTATGAGTGATGCCGACAAAGCCCAGCTTCGTGCCAAGGTAGCTGCTGAAGAACGTCTCGCCCATGAGGTCGATGCACAGAAGTCAGCTATGCGTGGACTCTCAGATGATGGGTACGCGCGTATGCCGAAGGCAACACCGAGCAAATCGTTTGAAGAGCGAGGACCCCTTGCACACAGCCTATTTAGACCATTCGGACCCGTTTTGGAGAGCTTAGAGAGTGAAACGCCATCTAAGATAGGCGCAACAGAGGCCGACGTGAAGGTGACCCACGAACGTGACGACTACGAACTGGCTGATAACATGCAAAACTCAAACGAGGATAGGTCTGGTCCTGTCGCCACTGATCACGAGCAGCCGGCCTGTCCGGTCAAGGAAAGCAGATTGACTGAAGATCATGACGTGAAGAAGTTTGACATGCTGAAGGAGGATCCTACAATGGACGACGCCTCATATCACGCCAGTGGCACAACTACCGCAGATACCGTGCGCGGAGAAGAAGTCACAGCAATCGATGCAGCCCCAAAAGCTACACAAGAAATCTTTACCGCTGACCACACTACTCCAACGACCGAACATGCCACTGTAGACCCGAAACCGAGCATTGACGATGCTGTTGGTGAAATGCCTCAGTCAGGCGCATCATCGCATTCGCCAGAACCGGGCTCACCAACGATCTATACAATCCTTTTGCACGATCCGCACAGCGGCAAGCTTTCGCTAACCACCTCTACAACAACGGAACCCCACAAGGCCCCTCCTATGATACCACTACACGAAGCGCTATCAACTCTCGAAGAGCCCGCCAAGTTCATTCCGTACATTGAGAATGGTCTTGAGATCGTCAAAGCGAACAAGTATTTGCTCGTCTTGCGCGGCGGTCTCAATTCCACAGCGTCTACCAGACCCTTCCAAACGGCCGACCCATCAACCGCAATGGAACACAACAAGGACGTTGGTACCACAGGAGAAAGAACTTACATTAACCCGATAGATGGAACGGCACGCCTTTCGCCTACCGGCTACGTTGGGCCAGAAGAGAGCGAAGAGCAACTTGAGAAGGATTTCACTGAGCGCAGGCGGGCTGCCGAGCGAGCAGTTAGTAATCAAGAGAGCAGCACAGAACAAGACCGGAGCGGACGAACGACCAAAGATAAGAAGAAGGGCGGTAAAGCAGCGGGTATAGTCAAAACGGCCATCTGGGCCTCGGCACTATGCTACGTGGCCGGTGTGATTGGGGAACTTGCTAGTTAAGACGCTTTTCACGGCGTGGCATTCATATCACGAGTCGCTCACCTAACGGCGTCTATTCTGTGTTGCTAACATCACTTTTCGTATCAGCGTTGGGTTGGCGTTGGCGTTGGCAGGTCACCGCTCCGGTTCAGACCATACATATATGTATATCACCTTTCTCAACACTCTATTCCTCAATCTTACATACTCTGAAGGGCCGAATACTCGCTCAAAATGCCTTGATACATCAGAGAAACCGTCCACAGACCGGCAAACCACTAGTACCGCTCTAGAGGGCCATACCCTTGAAAGCCCTCACGATAAATGTCACGGCGCCCTCAATGTATTCGGGACGGATGTAGGTCAAGTGATAGAACTGACAAGACCCAGAGTCACAGACCTAAATTCCATGATCAGCTTCGTTTGTTTCCCACCCTTGGATAGCAGGGTTGATATACTTACAGGATCGCCCTTTGCACAAATCTGCAGCACTTTTGCCTTCAGGCCATTGGGGAACTTATCTCCAACTACGCCCAGTCTCAAATTTGGGTCTCCAAACATGACAACCGACCTGATCTTGGGGAACAGAGAAGTAGGCAGTCTATCTGCAGCTCGGTGCATGATGCTAGCGCCTTGCGAGTAGCCGACCAGAGAAAAGGTCTGATTGGGGCAGGCGGAAGACTGCGCGGTCAAGCGCTGAACGATGTCATCGACACCTTGCCGTCCACCAGAAATAATTTGCGAGCTGGCTGGGTACTGAGAGAACTTCAGTTAGCGATGCTATGTTCGAAGCAATACTTGGATATCGTACCTGGACCGGATACCCCT